TAGTATTATTATTGATTTAATTAGTAAATAAATCAATAGTATTTTCAATTATTTTTATAGTTTCTTAACATAAATTCATAAAAAATGAGAATTATTCTTCTAGAAATTATTTCCCAAAATCTTACTTTTTGATAAAAAACTTGAAATATCAGTGATAAACTGTGATGAATCTTGTGGAATAGAAATATTTAATGAGTTGTTTCGTTCTTTTTTAATTTCTATTAATTGATTTCTTAAATAGTTTAAATTAATTTCATTAAATTCATTTTCTATATGAAATTGTTTTATTTGCTCATTTAAATCATTGAATTTATTTTCAATATCATTAATAAATGTTTGCAAAGATTTAATGACAATTTCTCTGTACTCTTGTGCTTTTTGTTGAATCTTTTCAATTGAATTTGTTTCCCATCGATCAATTTGTCTTATTAATGAATGATTATGTGGATTTTGCTTTTGTTCATTAATTGTTTGTTTAAATTGATCATAATTATTAATAATATGATTTAGTTCATCATTTAATATTTTACGATGTTCTATTAAATCCAGTAAACAAAAATGCTTTAAACATCCTTCACAAGAATATGTTATTTTATTTTTACCACATTTAAAACATTGTGTTTTATTATTCGCCATTGCCATGTCTTTAAATAGAAGTTTATAGATAAAATGAATATTCACCTATCTACTTATATATATACATAAACTTTATGACTCAACGATAATAAAACCATTGCTCGGCAGTAGAAGAAATCGAAAAAGAATCTTTTTATGACAAAATCTCACTGATAAAACTGATGTAATACATCTAAGATGATTGAAGTAAAAGCGAAAATTAATTTGTTTTTAATTTCAAATAAAAAATTAAACGATTCTTGTAATATTTTAATGTAAGTAAAGATTAAACATAGATCTACACTTACAATTTTATTTACTAGATGAATGGTATATCAATCTCTTATCCACTCAACTATATTATCATGTTCACTTTCATCATCACTTTCGTTACCAAAATAGTTATTGTGTGATATTCCTTTTTCATATTATTTCAAAAAATAAACTTATCAAAATAAAACTATTTCAAAGAATTAAATTTCTAAACTTTTGATATTTTGTAATTATTTTGATATGAATAAGAATCCGTGAATGTCTCACTTTGAATTTCTGTTTCATTAAATAAATTTTTCAACAAAAGCAAATCTATCGAAAAGAAAAACATTAATAAATATAATCTTTTAATTGAAAAAGAAATACGATATCGAAATAAA